TGAGCCTATACAGCTTGGAGTAAGACAACATGCATGAAGAGGATGATGTGGACAAAATACTCATTTGCCTAATAATTCTGCACTCCCTGTATAGCAAACAATGTGAGAAATTCTTATTGTATAATGAAGTATATGCCCATTTCCATTTGATGTCTGCTACATGGTGTAGAAACACTGGGACAAGGAAGCAAAAACCTGGCACAAAATAAAAATAAAACATATAAAATGAGCCCTATTCACAGGTTTAGCTTTTCAGAAGTAAAGATGGCATGGGATTCAGAACCTGGGAAATATCCTTGAACAAGAGATAAGGTTGAAAACTAAAACGAACTGGCTGTGATCTTCGGGCATAAAAGATGATGCTGTAGTGAAACGCACTGCAGTTCTGATAACTAATTTCAATAAACATCTTCAGTCTTCTAATATGAGTTGAAAACTTTGTAAGCAAAGAAAAAACTGAATAGAATAACAGCTTCACTGATCCCAAGCTCATATAAGATAGATTGGTCAAGGTGAAGTGGAAAATTACATCCTCAGGGTGAAAGTAGAGAAGAACACTTTGTATACCTTTCACAATAGTTTGGTGGGACAATTATGAAAATATCATGTAAAAAAAAAAAAGCATGGGTAACTGAAACATACGAAGGCCCACTGATGTTAATTGATATGTTGTTTTACGAGCAACATATGCCATCATTCTTCGTTTTTAAGGAAAACACCTTAGTTATTTCAGCAAAGTGAAAATGCAAAAGGGAAACATACCAGAAGTGTTTGAAGCTTTAGAGTCAGAATGAGCATGTATTTATGAAAACAAACAAGTCTTAGATGAGATGAGAAATACTTAGTAGATGTCATCTACTAGATATTAGCGCATGATGGCATGTAGTGTTAAAGATTTCCTGTACCTGTCCTTGCTGAATGAGTGTTAGCGAAGGCGCTCTGCTGCAGCTTCCTCAACCTTTCTGCAGCATTTCTCAACAATGAATATGTTGTCTTCATTCTCAGTTCTCCTTCCAGTTATAGACGTCAAGTGCCTGTCATTCTTTTTCTTTCTTTCTCTCTTTTTGTTTTTTGTTTTTTGACTGGCCATCCATTGCAACATAAATTCTATAAATCCCCCCC